CCTCAACTGTAAAATGGGGAAAATAATAGTTGTGGCACTTTTCAGGGTTATTTTGGGGTTCAAATGAGAAAATAAAAGCAAAATGCAAAACTTAACAAAATGAAACATGGTTCATGCTTGGGATTCTATAAAGACAGATCCCAACTTCTAAATCCAGTCAAATAAAAATGTAAGCAAACTCCAGGGAAATTGGAAGCATGAGTCTGTAACATAAACTTTACAGTAGAATCTTGCAAAGATAAATCGAAAGCAGTCAGAGAGACCTGGGTTTCTAGTTCCTTTCTATTGTTCTCTTCCACTTAGAAGGATGATAAAAACCTGCTCTGCCAATCTCCAAAGACTTTTTTTTAGGAATATGATGAAAGGAGTTCCATATTTGAAAATGCTTTGAGAAGAAATCAGCTAGGTGGCTTAGTGTATAGCCCACTGGAGTTGGAATGAGAAAGACTTGATTTCAAATCCCACCTCATACACTTGCTAACTATATCCTGGAGAAGTTACTGAACCTTTGTCTGTCTCAGTTTCCTCATCAGTAAAATAGGAATAGTGTTATTACCTAACTGCCAGGATTGTTGTGAGGATTAAATGAGATACCATTGGTAAAGTACTTTGCAAACCTTAAAGCACTAAATGAATTCAAGTATTACCATTATTATTATTATTATAATCATAATCAAATGAGAAAATAATTGTAAAGTACTTAAGACAGTGCCTGGAATATGGTGAGCATACACACACACATGCATACACGCATACATACATACATATACACATATGTAATTAGTTATCATTAACAATGTGATATAAGCAATAATAATAGTTATAATATTACAAATTATGTTTACATATGTAATTCATATCACTAATAAATAGCATGTTACTTTTAAGGGTCAAATGATCTTGTGCAAATATAAAGAATGATTATTAATTTCTTATACTTTGTTCTTATACTTATACCTTGCAATATTTGATAAAACTAGGAATTTGGGCCCAACAAGTTTTGCTCTGAATATAAACATTCTGAAAAATGGGGAAACTAATCTAATGAAGAAAAAGTAACAATAATAACAAAAGTACTGATTTAAATAATGCAGGATGAGGGTAATCTTGATGGTACAACTAAATGTCTTTTTGCTGATTCTAACTGTTTAGATTAAAAAATAATCACAATAGAACTAGTGATGAAATGAAGGTTTCTTAACCTTTATTGTGTGATTGAGCCTCTTGGCAGTCTGGTTGGTAAAGGCTGTGGGTCACTTCTCAGAATTATATTTTTAAATGCATAAAATAAAATACATAGAATTTTAAAGAAACCAGTTGTTTTGAAATGCAATTAAATATTTTAAAATTAATAAACTCAAAAATAAAATCCCATTTGGAATTCATTTTGAGAAATTCTTCAGTAATTCTTTCTGGTGGTATTCCCTTTTCAATGGAGCAAAATAGTCATTAGATCATCCTATATCTATGTAGCCTAGACAATGTGAAATTTCTATTCTGTGTTTCTACACTGGAGGAAATATTTCTACTTCTTTCTTTTTTTCTTTTTTGGTTAGACAGTTGGGGTTAAGTGACTTGCCCAGGGTCACACAGCTAGTAAGTGTCAAATGTCTGAGGCTGAATTTGAACTCAGGTTCTCCTGACTCCAAGGCTGGAGCTCTATCCACTGCACCACCTAGCTGCCCCTATCCCTATATTTTCAATGCAAATTCAAGTTAAGCGACCTTACTGATGAGACTTATACTCCTATGATAAGTGGCTTATCATCTGATCCCTGAATCTCTAGGTCTGTGATACTTTCCAGGCATTTGACTATAGGAGAAAGGATGTATCAGGAGTATGGTAGTATGTGAGCTATGTCTGTATATATGTATGTACATGTATGCATGTGTTTGTTAGATTTGAAAGCCCTGCTATGTGATTAGGGCAGGAGATGAGACTGAAGGGGAAATGACATATGGCAAGTGAATACAAACAGTGAGCTTTTTACTGACAGCTACATGTGCTTGCATGTGGACACATTTTGGTGAATGAGAAGTGAATTTTAACATCATGCAGGAAGTTCAGGTTTATAAGGGAATTTGGGCAACAGGACTGTGCTCTCATGAGTTGCGTGTGTTTGTGTATGCATGTGTTTCTATAAGCATGTGTATTGCGATGTGTATGACTGTGTGTGTGGTGAAGGTCTGGGATGGTTGGCATTCACAGTGTATGGGAGGAAGGTAGCATTTTTAACAACGTGCCAATGTATTTATTTGGATAACTATTTTTTTTGTCATTTCCCCAAAGTTTTGACCTCCACTGCACATACCCCATACTTGAATGCTATAACCCAGAGACAAAAACAGACCTAGCATCAAACAAAAGTAATTTGGTCTCAATATTTTCATCATAGAGCTTCTCTCGGTGCCTAGCAAATAATGTGTAATAAATACTTGTATACTCCCTTACCAGCAAGGGTCAGGGATCTCATGGGCAGTGAAGCTACGTTTTTTTCACCAGCTGGAAGAGGGAATGAAGAATGAGGGGAGATGTAGTCAATTAAGACAGAGGAATCCAAACAAAATTCGACCTTTGAGGAGAGAAAAGGATGGCCCTGAGTGGATTTGCACTAGTCATGAGCTCATAGCAAGTAAGAGCACTGCTTAATCAAATTCTAATCATGAATAATTCAAGCCTTATTTGGCTTACTCACCCGATCATGGAATGGTGTGCCTCAGCAGAATTTGCTATTTGCCTGGCTATTTCTGCTGTTTGTAATACGCTGTGGGACATGATGAAGTGTACCTGTTTTGCTTTCTCTCCACTTCCTGGACACTGGCATTGTGGCTCTGGGGAGTTTATTGCTCTATTTAAATCTTTTTTTAAAATGTTCTGTCTATGCTTTTATAAGGGATTTTGTCTCCAAAGATATGTTGATTTTTATTTCACTCTGAGTGAATGTTTGCTATAAAAAAGTATGGAGAGAAGACCAAAAGGGATCCTGAGACCTTTTCCCTCCTGTTGTTGAGTTGGTCATGTATGACTCTTTGCGACCACATTTGGGGTTTTCTTGGCAAAGATACTGGAGTGGTTTGTCATTTTCTTCCCCAGCTCATGTTACAGATAGGACAACTGAGTATCAGCTTAAGTATCACAGGGCCACACAGCTAGTAAGTATCTAAGGCCAGATTTGAACTCAGTAAGAGGAGTCTTCCTGACTCCAAGCCCAGCATCCCATCCACCACACTACCTCGGTGCCCATTTGCCTCATTTTTAATCTCAAACCTATGTTGAGCTCCTTTGCTAATTGTACAAAAATGGAGCTTTACTTGCTTAATTAATAAATAATATAATTGAAGAATTATTTAACACATAGAAAGGACTTTAGCTTTCTAATCCATTCTCTGTATTGCTCAAGTCGAACTTGATATGATTCAAGAAAAAAAAATTATCTTCTTTAAAAGGAGGTAAAATAAACAAGGGAACTGAGGATGAAATCAGGTAAAGCTAATATTCTAAGTTCTAATAGTCTAAGGGTTAAATAATCCTTAGATTGTGACCTATACAGAACAGACCAAGATAGGAAACATTGTCTTGTCACCACATGAAGTTTAATAACCAAAGACCATGAGAATAACCAGTGTTGTGGCTGGATGGGACCACAGAGATAGTCCATTTTAGTCTAATTTTATAGAAGAGGAGTTTGAGATCTAAAGACATGCAGTAGAGAGGGGTAAGCAGGTAAAGTGATATTCAAGGTTAAAGGCCTAGCCAGTGATAAAATTGACTGTAAAACTCAGATCTCCAGTGTCCTGGACTAATCCTCTTTGTCCTAGGCCATAATCAGGGCCAACATAGTTTGATTAGGGGGAAATGTTCTTCCAAGGATAACCGAGGTGCCACTCCTAGTGTGTAACTTGATATACAAAAGCTGTAAGGAAGGGAACCTGTGAGCCATGCCAGAAATATTCGGTCCAAGAACATTTCCATGTACATAGCACAACATAAAACAGGATTTAGTATAATACTATGAATTTCCATTTCACGCTATTTACTTAAAAAAATAAACTACGTAATAAATACTACACATAATTTTCAAAGCTACCCTGCTTTTCTGTGCTTTCTTCTAAGTTTTCTTTTGTTCTCTGCTGTGCACTTATGTTTTTCTCTCTCCCTCCCATATATATGTATGTATGTGTGTGTGTACATATATATTAATACACACACACACACATATATATACATACATGTGAAACCATGCTATACATACTTCCTATTTCTCAGTTCCTCCTGTGGAGGGAGGGGAGTTATCATCTTCCTTCATCCGTCCTTTGTAGTTGATGTGAGTATTTATAATATCAAAAATAAAAATCATTCAAAATTGTTCTTGGAATAACATTGCTGTTCTCATGTACAGCATTTATAGAGTGCTTTACATTTTTCAAAGTGTTCTAAATATATGCTGTGCTGGAAGCATATAAAAAAAAGTACAACGTGTTGTTGTTTTTGCATTTTGTTCACTGTGTTTTGATGAAGGTATGAGTAGCAGTTTTGCTTATGAAAGGCATCATGTAAAAGGTAGTGCTCAAGATAAACTTGGAAAGAAAGCAGGGATCAGACAGAAGGAGATGAGATGGGAGGAGGAGGAAAGGTAGGAGTGCCTTCTCTGCATGGATCCAGCTAGTGCCAATAGATGGATATAGGAGATTAATTTGGCAGATGAGGAAAATTATGTTTTTCCAAGGAGTCTGTTGACAGGATCTAACAGTTTCATTACGAGAAACAATTTTTAGGAGGGAGAGTTCATATGCTCAGCCTCAAGTCAGTTCCACTCTCAGCTCTTCCACATAGCTGTAATCCTTAGATACAGTTTACCTCGATGTTCAAGTCAAATGGAATGGAATTATTGTCCTCGCTCTCTTGTATAAATAGGCACTTTCATTCTTTTTCTTAACCGTCTATTTCCTCTACTCACATTTATTCTTTAATTTTAGATAAATTGCTTCATATCAGCAGACATGGGAAACTTCACCATCATCACTGAATTCCTTCTCATGGAGTTTTCTAGCACCTGGGAGCTACAGATTGCACATGCTCTTCTGTTCCTCCTGATTTACTTGGCAGCCCTGATGGGGAATGTTCTCACCATTGCTGCAATTGTCACTGACCGACACCTTCACTCTCCAATGTACTTCTTTCTGAGCAACTTATCCCTGTTGGATATCTGCACAATTTCGGTCACACTTCCCAAATTCATTTTGAATGCCATTGTTGGCAGTCACTCCATCTCACTTCTTGGCTGTATTGCTCAGGTCTTCTTCTTTATACTCTTTATTTCAACTGAGTTTGCTGTCCTCATTGCCATGTCCTATGACCGCTTTGTGGCCATCTGCCACCCCCTGCACTACGGGGTTAGCATGACACCAGCCCGGTGTCTTTGGGTAACAGGTGGCTCATGGCTCAGTGGACTTCTTTATTCAGCACTGCACACAGGTAATATTTTCCGATTGCCTTTCTCAGGATCCAATGTGATCCACCAGTTTTTCTGTGATGTCTCACAGATCTTGGAGGTCGCATCCTCTGATGTATTTAAAACAGAGTTTGTATTGCTTTCCATTAGTTCAGGGATTTTTTTGCTTTGCTTTATCTTTCTAATAATATCATATGCTTGTATCTTCTCCAGTGTGTACAAGATGCCCTCTGTGGAGGGCCGCTACAAAGCCTTGTCTACCTGCTTCCCCCAGTTGATTATCCTCGTCTTATTTCTCATTTCTGCAATGTGTGCAGTCTTGTGGCCCACATCAGACTCATCACCAATCCAGAATGTTCTTATTGCAATCGTCTATGCAATACTGCCCCCTTTCATGAACCCTATCATCTATAGTCTGAGGAACAGGAAAATCAAGATTGCACTGGGTAGAATCATAAAGTGGACACTTTTTTCAAAGAAGAGAATTGAGAAATGTGAAAATGAGAGGGGCATTTTGATAGGCTGTTGTAGCATAAAATGGTACAACTAGATTAAAAGTAAAATAAGCATTTGGGTGTTTTACCTATAAAATGACAGATTAAATATTGATAAGTTAATTCATTTTAAAAAAAAATCCTTAACCCAGGCACTGTTCTAGGTGATAAGAATGCAGATACAGAAAGGAGATAACTCCCCACTCGACGACCTTAAATAATTGCAACAATAGGTTGTCCATTCTCCACCACCATGGTAATCTTTGCACCAAAATATATTTTTTAAAAAATCAAAATAACCTAGGCCAGGATTAAACTGGATTTGTGCAAGTAATTCTATAAACCATGGTCAAATTTCCAGCAAAGCAATCAGATTAGGAATACATTTACCTTCAATGTCTAAAATAAGCTTTCGCAGCTCATTTCAACCAAGTGTTTCCTTCAGAATAGGAGTGTCAAGTCTCTCTACCAAACATATTCCTTGATGTCTTTACTTACACTCTTCCATATATTTGAAATGCCCTGCACCCCTCCCAACTGTTGGAACCTATTCACCTTTCATACATCATTATAATTACCTATCCCATAATGCCTTCTTTGAACCCTTGAGTTAAGAGATGATTGCTGCTTATGCTTTCTATATTTATAAGTGATTATATTATACACAAATATATACACATATGTATATAATTTTGATGTATTTATTGTATTCTAGTTTCTTTATACTAATGTGTCTCCATGCCTTGCCTGTCCTTCTCTACTAATATCTTATTGAACATGTCTTGTTTTTTTAAATATGTTTTTCCTAACAACTAATGTAGTCTTTTGTACATAGCAAGCTTTTTAAAAATACGCTTTTAAATTGATGTTTTCTGTTTCTTATATGACCATAGTATCCCATCTATACCTTCTTCTCCCTGAGAGCCATCCAACGTAACAAATAACATTTTTTTAGAAAGAAAAAAAAGGCAACACAACTGATCAATATATTGAGAAAGTCCAAAAACATGTCCAATGTGTAGCACTTGTGTTCCTTTCACCTTCATGAAGGGGTATGTTGGGGGTGTCTTCTCACCTGTCTTCATTTGAGTTCCATTTGATCCCTATAATAGTGTTACATTTCCTTTTGATTTTTTTTAGTGTCTTTTTTTTCCCCTTCAATTTATGTCGTTGTAGTTATTGTCATTATTGTTTTCTGGGATCTTCTTGCTTCCCTCTGCACCAATTCATGAAGACCTTTTCCTCCTTCTCTGTATTCATCACACACATCATTTCTTACAGCACAGTAATATTCGATTACATCTGTATTTGTTCCCCGATTTGTTTAGACATTTTCCAATTGATGGATATCTACTTTGTTTCCCTTCTTAGCTACTACAAAAAGTCCTGTGATAAATATTTTTTAAGTAGATGGGGACTTTTTTCTTATTGGTGGTTTCCTTGGGGAATAAGCCCACTAATGAAGTTTGTGGTTCAAAGGTAATGGACATTTTAGTCACGTTGTTTACGGGATTCCAAATAGATTGTACCAATTCACAGTACCATCAACAATGTATCCATGTGTCTATCTTTCCCCAAACTCTCCAACATTGACTGTTGGTACTTTTTTGGGCCATTTTTGCCAGTTTCCAAGGTATGAAGTAAAACATCAGAGTTGCTTTGCACTTGTTTTATTATTAGTGATTTGAAACATTTTTTTCAAATGATTGTCAATGCTTGCAGTTCTTTTAAGATCTGTTTATTTCTTTTGACCATTTATCTATTGGGAATGGCTATTAGTTACCTCTCTCTCTGTCTCTCTCGTTTATATATCTTGGATAACAAACCCTTATCAGAGATGTCCCCACTGAACTACTTCCCTTCTTATCCTAGATGCATTAATGTTGTCTGTGTAAAAGCTTTTCAGTTTCAAGCAATCAAAATTACCTGGTAAGAATAAATGTCTTACCTATAGATGTGAGAGATACATGATCTATTTCTCTTCTAATTTTTTATAGTATGATCTTTTATATTATGGTCACACATATACAATTTAGAATGTATCATGGAGTGTAGTATAAAATGTTGGTCCAAACATAATTTCTGCCAAATTGCTTCCCTGTTTTCCTAGCAGATTTTATCTGATAAGGAGTTTTTTCCAAGGTTACCTATATTTTCCACTTTATCAGACAGTGATTTTTTGAGTTCTGTTGTTTATGAATCTACCTCATCTAGTCTATTCCATAAATCCATCTCTCTATTCTTTAATCAATACCAGATGGCTTTGATGACTGGTGCTTTATAACATAGCTTGAAGTCTGGAAGTATTCCCCCTTCTTTTCATGATTTCCTTTGCTATTCTTGATCTTTTGTTTTTCCAAAGAAATTTTGTTGTATTTTCATCAAACTTTGTGAAGTATCCTCTTGGCAATTTGATTATATAGCACTGAAAGTTTCAATTCACTTTGATAGTATTGTCATTTTTATTTTATTGGCATGGCCTAGCCACAAGCTATGTAGGCTGTTCTTTAATTCCTTAAGAAGAGTTTTGTAATCAGATCTCTACTAGTCTTTTGTCAGCTTTGGTAGGATGATCCCCAGGTATTTTATGCATTTTGTAGGCATTTGAAATAGCACTCCTTTATTATTATTTCTTGTGCTTTGTTATTATGATATAGAAATGGTATTGATTTTTTTAGGATTTGTTTTATAGTCGGCAAGTTTTTGAAGGTATAAGTTGTTTCAGTTAGTATTTTTGCTGATTCCTTGGTGTTTTCCCAAGTATAACATAATATCAGTAGAGATAGTTTTATCTCTTTTTAAAACTATTTTTATTCCTTTAATTCCCTTCCTTCTTCTTATTGATATTGCTAAAATTTCCAGAACCATATCAAATAATAGTGGATAAAGTGGGCATCCTTGCTTCGCTCCTGTATTTCTTGGAAAAAGTGTATCCTTATAGCATATGATGCTCACTTTTGGTTTTAAATAGATCCTTTCAATGATATTTTAAAAAAATCTTTAAATGCCTATAAATTTGTATTTTTTAACAATAAAACAAAGTTGTATTTTATAAAAGAGCTTTTATTTTCACTTCTACTGAGATAATCTTATGGTTTTGGATGTTTCAAATTTTAATATAATTAAGATATTGATTATTTTCCTAATGTTGAGCCATCTCTGCATTCCTTGTATAAATTATACTTGCTCTTAATGAATCATTTCTTGGATGAATTGCTGTAATCTGTTTAGATTTGGTTTAATACTTTTAAGTCAATGTTCATTAATGATATTAGACTAACGTTTTATTTCTGTTTTCTATCTTTCCCTGGTTTAAGTATTATTATATTTGTCCCATAAAAGGATTCTAGTAGGGTTATTTCTTCCTCAATTTTCTTTTTCTTTTTTTTAATATAAATTTATTTATTTTTAGTTTTCAATATTCATTTCCACAAGTTTTTGAGTTCCAAATTTCTTACCCCTCCCCCACCCAAGATGGCATGCATTCTGAATACCCTTCCCCTGGTCTGCCTTCTCTTCTATCTCTCCCCTCCTTCTCTTATCCCCTTCCCCTTCTATTTTCCTGTAGAGCAGGATAGACTTCTATACCCCATTTCCTGTATTTCTTATTTCCCAGTTGCATGTGAAAACTTTTTTTTAAAACATGTGTTTTTAAAACTTTGAGTTCCAAATTTTCTCCCTCCCTCCCCACCCACCCTCATTGAAAAGGCAAGCACCTCAATATAGGTTGTACATGTGCAGTTATGCAAAACACTTCCTTAGTAGATATGTTGTGAAAAACTAACTCTATTTCCCTTAATCCTATCCTGCCCTCCCATTTATTCTATTCTTTCTTTTGACCCTGTCCCTCCTCAGAAGCATTTGCTTCTGATTACCTCTTTCCCAATCTGCCCTCCTCTCTATCACCCCCTGCTCTCTTGTCCCCTTCTCCCCCTATTTTCCTGTAGGGTAAGACAGATTTCCATACCCAATTGAATGTGTATGTTATTCTCTCCTTAAGCCAAATCCTATGAGAATAAGATTCCCATTCCCTCTCACCTTCCCCTGTTTCCCCTCCACTGTGAGAGACTTTTCTTTTCTGTTTTTTTTTGTGAGATAATTTACCCCATTCTACCTCTCCCTTTCTTCTCTGAGTATCATCCTCTCTCATCCCTTAATTTTATTCTCCAGATATGACCCCTTAATCTTCAACTCACCCTGTGCCCTCTATCTATCTATCTATCTATCTATCTATATCTATACATTTTTTTCCTTCATACCCTAATACTGACAAAGTTCTCATGAGTTACAAATATCATCTTTCCATGCAGGAATGTAAACAGTTCAATCTTAATAAGTCTCTTATGATTTCTTTCCTGTTTACCTCTTCATGTTCCACTGGAGTCCTGTATTTGAAAGTCAAATTTTCTGTTTAGCTCTGGTCTTTTCATCAGGAATGCTTGAAAGTCCTCTATTTCACTGAATAACCATTTTTTCCCTGAAGGATTATACTCAGTTTTGCTGGGTAGGTGATTCTTGGTTGTAATCCTATCTCCTTTGCCCTCCGGAATATTATATTCCATGCCCTGCGGTCCTTTAATGTAGAAGCTGCTAAATCTTGTGTTATCCTGATTGTGTTTCCACAGTACTTGAATTGTTTTTTCTGGCAGCTTGTAAATTTTTTTCTTTGATGGGAACTGTGAGGAATTTGGCTACAATATTCCTAGCAGTTTTCCTTTGGGGATCTCTTTCAAGAGGAGATCTGTGGATTCTTTCAATTTTTATTTTGCCCAGGTCAGTTTTCCTTGATAATTTCTTGAAAGATGATGTCTAGGCTCTTTTTTTTTTGATCATGGCTTTCAGATAGTCCAATAATTTTTAAATTCTCTCTCCTGGATCTATTTTCCAGGTCAGTTGTTTTTCCAATGAGATATTTCACATTGTTTTCTAATTTTTCATTCTTTTGGATTTGTTTTACAGTGTCTTGATTTCTCATAAAGTCACTGTCTTCCAATTGCTCTATTCTAATTTTTAAGGAAGTATTTTCTTCAGTAATCTTTTGGACTTCCTTTTCCAT